CCCCAAAACCCCAAAACCCCAAAACCCCTAAATCACCCTTCATTATTGAAAATATTTCTGATCCATTTTGTTATAGATGCAACCCTTGTCTATAAGAGGATCAACTATTCTAATAAACATTGCAAAATTTGAGCGTAAATATTTTGATCAAAACCAATCTTATCCTCAGAAAGACCAGATTTCAGAAGTATAAAACAACGATAGTTCCTTAGAAAGAAATTCTAAGAATGCAGATCTTATTTTACCCCATTTTCAAACATAATATAAGTGTTTCTACCTTTTTGGGCAAATTTAGAGGGATTCTTTTGCATTTTCCTCATGTCTTGAAATATTCAGCCAAAATCACATAAGTCCTGAAAGATATTTGAGAATCTTAATAATAAAAATAGCAGACATTTATTATTTAAAGGTTAATTGACCAAATTAAAGCTATACATTGTCAGTGCAACCACAATATCTGTACTAAGATCAGGATCATTTTTCAGATTCAGTTCCTGCTATATGAACTTGGATTGCTTCATTCTTTTCACCAGAATGTTGAAGAATTCAATTACAACATTGATTTCTTTAATAGAGAGTTTATAAAGTACTTACACCAAAAATCAAATGAATTTTCTCATAAAATAATTCGTCAAAGTCAAGTTAAGGTTCTAGTGTCATATATTAAGCAATTGAGATCTCAAACCTCTTCACAAGCAAAGACTTTATAGCATCTTTCTATTGAAAAGCAACCACTACAGTATCATAAATATGTCTTGAAAGTAAACAAAAATTTGGCAAAATTAGCCAAATAATCAAGAACGGAAAAGAGATCTAGCCTGCACACAAACCCAGAAGCAGTGGATTTGAAACATGTTCAAGCTCTCATAAATCATTCTACAATTCATTTGCATTTATAAGCCATCTAGTATTTGACTGCTGAAGACTCTGGTTCCAAAATTTTCATTAAAGATTTGGAACACAAGTTCATGACTAATAAAGATTACAAGAACTTGCTGATTGATTTACTTGGCAAGATTCCTAACTATTTAAGCATGAAAAGTTCCACTAAGTCTGATGGTTACATCAATTCATTGGACGAATTGGTGACTCAGCATCTGATAAAGTTCCAGAACTCTTTGAATACTTCCATTGATCCAGAAGAGAATCAAGCATATTTACTGTATGTTAGAGACCTTTTATTTGAAAATAAAATTATGATTGATCAAATCCTTGAGTTATGAGTGCACTGCAGCATCGTCGACTCTGTAGACAACATGAAACAATCCAAAAAAATCAAGCAATCGTTTGATGGACTTCAGAACATTACAAACAAGCTCAAGGCTACCAAAGCCAAGTTCAGTTTGCGAGGATTTCAACTTAAAGATGACATTGAGAATTATGCATGAATCAGCTATAGTGTAATCAAGAACATGCTTGAGCATAACTTATCAAAACAAGAGATTCCTTTCACGACTACAAAGCATTTAGTCCAAGGAATCTATCACACAATCAAGAGCTTCTACAACAGCAAGAGAATCATCCTCAACAGAAAGCTCTTATCAAAAAGGATAACAAAATAAAGTACCTCATCGCAGAACTCCTCAGAATCAGAGGAATCTGGAGAAAAAAACACAAAAAGATCATAATTTTCAGTACCAGAGTCAACAACCAACTCTCAGAATTCCAGACCCATCCAGCAACAACCATCACCACACACTTGCTTGAAGACATCAGGCTCACAATCTCCCCAGCCCCATAACTCCCACCCACTTTGTACAGTAACCCCCCAAAAAGTCCTATTCTCTCAACTAAAACATTTTTTGTTCTAATTCCTAGTTAACCAATTTCAAACTTTTATCAAACTTCCTTATGTTCCCTTGTGACCATACTGCTTGGTGAGATTAATATTTTCAATTTTATTGAATATGTTTGGGGTTTTGGGGTTTTGGGGTTTTGGGG